ATTTCTTTGATAATACTTGTAATTTCTTTGCAACAGTAAATTTACTTCTACTTTATGCTTATGCTAAGTTCATAAAAAATTTGCTAAAATAAACAATTTTTATTACTTCAATGCTATATAACGCATTAAATGAAATTGTTACTCTTCCTAAAAAAATCGAATCTTGCTAAAGCAAAAAAAAAAAAAACTTAACAAACTTGTCTACTGTTATTTTGTTACTAATTACGTCATAAAGGTAAAAGAATTTTTGTAACATAGAATTTATTGTAATTTAATAAAAAATGATTTTATTAGAGAAAAAAGTTTTTAATGAGAAGAGAACTAATATATATATGTATGATATCCTAAAAGTAAAAAAAAAGAGAGAAAAGAGAAATTCTTGAATAAAACGAGCCATGTGTGGCGTCTTGGATGGTAAATTTGTCGAGACTACTGTGATTTTGATTAATTTTTTATATTTTTTTTTAAACTTTTCACGAAAATTATCTATACTTATGTCTGATCTGTCACGCTGTTCGTACAAATGTTTTGTTGATGATTCATCTTATTCCACTGGTAGATTTCAAAAATTAATTTCTATTCTTCAATCATTCAACAGATTCTTGACTTAATAATTTTTTCTATCTTACTGTAAATTTTCCGAAATACTTTTAAATACTTTATGATGAATTACAAATTTACTCTGATTTCTATAATAATGTGTTTTTCAAATTTCATTTTTAAATTCAATATTTGATATTAGTCGGTGTTGCTATCATATAATTAGATATTACTAAGAATTCTAAACCTTAAAACAATATGATTAATTTGCACAGTTAAACTTTCTGACAAGAAATTTAAGTGAGTTTTCCAGGTAGTAATAAAAATATTAATATGATTTTTGGAGTACAAAAGTTCGCAAATGAAAGCTTGGCATTGAAATGTCGAATTTTCTATATAGCATTTTTCTTTCTTATTTCGTAATGGCTTATATCAATCAACTGGCCAATTCATATCTCAAATATTTAATTCAAAATCAATTTTCAAGTATTAACTACTTATAGCCCATAACGATTCGTGTTCCATTCATTACAATTAAGCTGCATTTAGCTTGAAATGATTATTCCATTCAATCTTGAATATTTTAACTCACATCCATTCGTTTGATAATGATAATGATAGTGAAGTTTTCAGTGAAGTCTTCTAGAAAAATTGTAAAAAAAAAGATCTATCTCATTTAACATATTTCATCGTTTCATTTTATCGCAGTGCGGAATGTTCAAAAAAAATTTTTTTTAAGTCTTCTAATGCTCAAAGGAGATTGTATCTCGATGGATCAGAAGTTAAACCAATTTCACTTCAATGTTGACAATCAAATCGTTTTTTTTTTTAGTGAACTATCACATGAGATCACGGATAATTCTGAATTATTTAAAAAATTCCAAAGTCATTCAATCACCACTCTGCTTTTAAATTCCAATCCTTGGATCATCAATTCCGAGCTGTTTACTTTATCACTTAGCATTTAACTGCTACATTGTAAATAATCTTGAAGACAAACTTAAACAAGACCTTTAATATTGTTATAGGTATTCTAAAACGTTTTCATTACTTCCATTTCATTTATTTAGCATTTCTCGCTTTCTGCATTATCCAAACTGTTTTCAATTTCATCATCCAATTAATTATCTTGAATGAGTCCTTCTTGCTGAATCACAAAACATCCTATAAAATTGATCAAAATTTTCTCTTTTTCTCCATTTCTAAATACTTATTTATCAAATTGATAATCTTCAAATTATTATCAATTCAAAACAGTTTAATGTGATGCTTGAAATATTGAAACTTTTAATATTGAAACAGCTTAATGTAATGTACAGGTATATAATCGGAAGAAAACGATGAAAGGATGAACAGCGATCGGTTAACTTCATTATCAGCAAAATGATCTCTATCTTAATAACTCTTCTTCATTACGTTCCTTAACGATCACATTGATGCGATCAATATATTAAAGTAAATGAATATTGCTAAATTCCCGTGGAAAACTATTAAAAGAAAAAGAAAAACTGTTCCAATGCAAGATTAAAATTAAAGGATAATTTCTATTTGAAATTTGAAACAAAACTACTAATTTCATTTTTTGATTTCTTTTTTTTCTTCATCTTTTTCCAATTATTTTATATGCATGTAAAAGAGGAAAAAATCCTTTTAGAAATCAAAGGAAATGTTTAAATTGATGTAAAGTTAGAATGCATAAATTATAATCTGAAATAAACTGGAAAATATAATGAGTATTGAGGTTATTACAGTGTTGTTATAAGCGAAAACTAAAATAAGCATAATATAATCAGGCGATCAAATTAAAAATTATATAATTTCTTTACCATTCAATCCCACTTCCTTTATCTGCTAACATTTATTTTATAATTAAATTCACCAATTCATTTATTTCAACGGTTCAAACTTTTTCATTCAAAACTGCCAATGTTTTTACATTACAACACTTTTCTTCGCTAGTTATGAAACAACAACAAAACTGATAAGCAATGAAATTCAAAGAAATTACGTATGGACATTTTTCACTTTACTGAATTGGAATAGATATACGAAGCCGTCAATCAATTTACGATTTCTCGTCAAAATCTTTCTAGTTTCGTCCAATGATTGCATTCGAAATTTTCTTCTCACCGAATAATTCCTTTGAAATTTCTTTCTGAATATGTTAAGTAAATTTTATTAGAAATTTGACTTCCTATCCCAATATTTGGTTAACTTTTTTACACTAATAATTCCCGTAAAAAGACAAAGAATGCATACATCGCACCGATAGTTCAATTTATTTAATTTCACAGTATTATTAGATTTTATCAATGAGCAATAGTTCATTGATAAAATCGGTTAAATAATAATTAAACCAAAGTATGCACAAATTTATTCGTGTATGAACTTGCAGGTTGCAGTACAAAGTCCCACCTCTTTTTTCTCTCATTCAAAGTTTAAATCCGTCATCGAACTATTTACTTGTCAAAAAAAAAAAAACCAAAAAACAACCATAGAAAAATTGTCAATGGTAAAGAATTCAAGAAATTCATATGAAAGAAAATAAAAAGCAAACATCAGCGGACCATTTCTTACCAAAGTTATCATAATTAAAATCTATAAAAAACATTCAAATTTTACTTTATCCAATTAAAATACCGTGCATTATTGGATATTCCAGCAATGAAAAGATATGAAAAATAGAAACAATCGTTTTTTTTTGTTTTTTTTTTTGTAACTATTTACCTCAGATTAAATTGCGCTATAGAAGTAATTATGGTCCAATTTTAATGAACTATAACTTATTATATATGATTGCAATCTATTTTATTTAATCGATTTCCATGTTTGGTCCAAATATAGTGAAATATTAGTAACAAATTCTTGCATGACATAACAACATGGAGCGATGCTTTAAATTCAATATGTTTGCTATAAAGAGAGGTACATGTTAACACTTAAGTGAGTAGATCCTAATATGCAAGATATGCATGTCTTACAACGTATAATATGAATCGTATTAACTTGTAAGTACTTTATCTTGTAGCTTTTAGTCTGAAATAAAAACCATACGGCACACGAGAAAAGCACATATGTGATCAAAAAATGTTTGCACTAATGATATTTTCCACCACGATCCATTTCTACTTCTATCTCCTATTCAAACAATCAACAAACAGAAGAGGAACTAATTTGAACATTAAGTTAGATCTGTGGATCACTTTGTAAATGCATAATGATGTAAATGTAAGCATTGTCTTTTTTCAAAATAAAAATGTTAATGCCATATAGCTCGCTAATGATGTAAAACAAGGAAAAATATTCCCGTCTTATGTAAATTAAGGCGGAAAAAAATTGTGGATATATATAAATACCTGATTCTAATAAAAATCATGGTTCTACAGTTGGAAATTGGAAGGGACATGTATATTAATTAATTACACTTCTAGACCTACACTTTTGAAGGATATATTTTAAATGAAATTATATGGCAGTTAAACAATTTAATCTGCAAAATCTGCTCTATTCGCAAGATTTAGAAGAGATTCTTTATAGAATGGAAAATATCGATGAGGGATTCAACAAATAAAACTGGAAAATAAGGATAAATGAACAAGCATGCGACTTCGAGGAAAAAAAATCAGTAAAATCGATTTGACTGATCGCTGAACGAAAGTGTGAACTGATTCTGTGATAAGAGTTGAGTAGGAGGGCGTCTGAAATTAACACAGCTCACAATATGTCTGCGAACCATCAAAATCTAAGCCATACATAAGCAAATGTTTGTGTTTGTGTTATATGAATCAAATTAAAGATTTTTCCGCTTAAATCCCCACCTTTTCTTTTTCACCAAAAAATATACATATATATTTCATTATTATTACACAAACACAAATAAATAAGAAAGAAAGAAAACAGCGACAAAATTAGCTTTGCTATCCTTCATTTCCTTCACGGCCTCACTAAATTAAATGTACTTTACTATATTCCTGTGTAACAGCCTTCCTTATAAGTAGCATCTGTTTTTCATTTTTTAGGAAACTTTTCTAAATGTGATATTTTTAGCGATGTTTAAGAAAGGAATTTACCTACCCATAGGGTACAGGATTATTTCTTGTAGGATCGCTGAATGCTGGATTCATTCCAATTAGATTTTGTGCCAGATTCTGTCCCATATAAGGTGGTGGTGGTGGTGGTGGTGCTGCAGGAGGCGGTATTCTAGAATCGAAATATGGAAGACGCTGTAGCTGAGTATTCGGTGCATGGTGCATTCCAGTTATTGGAAACCTTTGTTGTGAAACAGGAGGTAATGACGGTGTATAGGTGGTACCTGGTGGAGGTGGTGGTATCCTAAACGGTGGTATGCCTGGAAATGTGACACCTGGAAATATTTCTAAAAAAAAATAAGCACACAAAGAAAATGATTAAAAAAGTATGAATTATTGGATATCAATAATTTAGCGCATGTATATCCCATTTTATTCCTTATAGATTTTTCGAAAGAGTCTCGTGATGCAAAAGTATCGCTTGATGCAAACTATCACATCATTTTGGTTATTTTATATATCAAATAATGGATTACATCAAAACAATTAAGAAAATAAATATTCATTTACCTAATGGAAATGGCTGTTGATACAACGGAGGCCTTGGTGTCCTTATCACGGTTGGTAGTCTAGGTCGCGGATTTGATGCATGATATGATGGACAGGGCAGTGGCACACCTGCTGGAACGCAACTAGCTGCACTGCGAACCATTTGATCAAAAGCTAAATCTCGATCCTCATCGAACCTACAAACGCCTCCAAATATCCTTTCTCGCGCTTGCAAATATGCTGCTTCCCTTTCCTGAAAACACATTTAATAGAAACAATAATCAAGCTGATTTGACTTAGATGATTTCATCTATCTGATTAGCACTTGACTTTTCAATTCATTTTGTAGTAATGTCTTTTGCGAAGACCATGTCCGAAATAATAAAAGAATGGTAATAGCAGATTTATTCTTTGATAAATCATCTGTATCTGCTAAAGCGAACATTATTTTTTATTCTATAAATCAGAATTCAAATAGAAGTACTGAGTTACAAAATTTCTTGAAATTCTGAAAAATAACTAATGAAAAATTAATTTTTGTACAACATCACATAGACTTTAATCGCGATTTTTTTCTTTAGATTTTTTGCTCGAATTTATGTGAATTCTATTTTTCAAGGGGTACCCTTTCCCCAGTGCTTTGAATTTAAATTTCCAAATAGTCTTTCTGAAATTGATTAACATAGAGTTGAATGGATTCGCACAAAAATTGCCACTCTCCCGATTCGAAACAGAAATATTGGAACTTTTAAAATAACATAGAAATTTCAAACTAAATTCCTTTTTGCCAACGAAGGTCTGATAATGATGTTAGGCTCCACGACCTATTCTGACTTTATCAATCTTTGACAAATGCGAGTAGGAATTCTCTGAGATCAGTCAAGATATAAGATCACGGTTTTGGTTTCCTTGTATTAGAACAGACACTGTTGAAATACATCAAACCTGAAGGGTCATCGTTCTCGTTTTTTCCTCGAGCTTTGCCATATCGTGCGAAGATGATGACTGCATTTCACAGCCTTGAGGACGTTTCAGAATTTGAAAAGCTGGTTTATCGAAACTATAATTAGATAA